GACTCTGATCCGACCTGACTCGAGTCAGGCCTGGTGACTCCCGGCCTTCAACACGATAAGCCGGGTCACGAGCCTGAACCGGCCCGACTTACACCTAGCCATAGAGGCTTGGAATTGTGCAAAAGAAATTCTAAACTTTGGGTGTTACCTTGTGAAATAACCATGATTATGTAGTAAAATAAAGTCAAAATTCCATTAAAAAAAAGTCAAAATGAGCTAGAATAACTTTAGGCTAAATGGCACATGAATACCTCAAAGTTTCTAAGTTTTGGTACTTATATACCATGAAATTTTTTATTTTTTAGTGGTAAATGAATATCATAAGTTGTTTAAAATTGGCATGTTAGTACTCTTGATCATGCAAATGTGAAAATTTCACGTTAATTTTCTCGTATGACACTGACATGTTAATTTCTCAACTTTGTAACAATCATTAATATATGTTGAATTTATATTATTGTTGAACATATCCCAACTATATTTTAAAGTAGTCTTAAGATAAGTTTAAATATAAATTTTAGTAGATTTAATAGCAAATATAGCAAATATAGTAAATATAGCAAATATTAATAATTAAAAAGCTCTAAAGTTAACATATAACTGTCATAAGGAAACATCCAGGTAAAAACTTTCACGTTTGCACGGTCTTAGCTAGCCATAAGTTTACAACGTGTCAGCACTAACATCTTCGAAGTATTCTACACAAATGACTCTTGAGCATCTCAACGAAACCGGCACAAACTACCGTACAGGATTACAAAATGAGCCCAAGTGAAGGCCATCCCATCATGAAGCTTATGGCAACTTCTTTCTCTCCGTTGACTTGTGAAAGGTAGAGCATCTGGCTCAGATGTAACCCGTGAGGTCTTGGTTGTTACCATAACATTGACATTGTGTATAAACTCATTAATTATTACCAGAACTTGAGGATGGTGTATCACTTGCACATAAAAATGGTCCATCATTTGAATTGAAACGATAGAGGGGTCAATCAGTCCTCTCCTAATCAGTCAGTGCCTTGAGATCTCATGTGTGCTTTAAAAAAGAATATTCTTGCTACGAAGCATAACAAGCATTTCGGATAGATTTTCTAATCTGCGCTTGTTCTAGGATAGCCTGTGACGCTGGTGGAGATAATAATATGAACGCCGGGCCCGGCTAACGAAGGTTCTAGAGCCTTCTAACTGATGGCAAACTCTGGGCATTAGGGGTGTATTCGGTCTGGATATGGCTGGGATATGATGCTTATCAAATCCATATCCATATCTGCTTACCCTCTCGGATATGAATACGGATACAGATATATCTCGGTAAGGAAAATTTATAACCGTATCCGCTAAAATCAGATACGGTTACGAATATACATGTGGATATATAAGCGGATATGCATACAGATACAAAATAGATACGAGAAAAATAGATAGTATTGAGAAAAATATAGTTCATGTGATACAAAAGAGTTCATTATTATCTTCATTATAACTGAAATGTTAAGATTAGACATCTTGATCATCAAAATTAACCACAAACCCATAATCTAAGATTCGAAACTATCGTAAGAGTGTGACTAATATGTATTCGGATATTTCGGATACGGATACAGATATTTCACTACAAAACCATATCCGCAAACATATCCTATCGGTTATAGATTTGAGTAACCATATCCGTATCCTAACGAATGCGGTTACGAATTTTTCATCGGATATGGATACGGAAACGGTGTAGCATCCCTACTAGACAGAATACACAACTCAACATTTCAAGAATAGAACCTCAGTGAATAACTTAAAAAAACAATATAATAACATTTCAAGGATAGAAGCTCAGAGAAGCTTAAAGAAAAACAACCACGTAATAACCTTATTTCCCATGTGTCCATCTGTTCCATTGCCCTTGTCATAATAGCAAAAATCAAAACTCGTGTCCAGATAGCTTTAGACAAAATGAAACTATCAATGATTTGCAAGGCTTAACTGCATTTAAATGTCATATATTTTCACTAATCTTGCGCTCAAGAGAATTCTATTTTAAAACTGATCAAATAAATATTCCAAAATATTTAAATATTACAGATAAATGCTCTAAAGTTAAAAACAACCAAGTTTCTCTGCATATTAAAGAACACCACATAACAGAGGGTACTAAGGTGTTTCTTTTAGAAATTAGTGTATTTAGGTGAGGCTATTTACAAACTGAGGGTATTTTATATGCACCATTGGGTAAACAAGAGGGCACCAAAGCACAACATTTTAAATCTTCAGAGCATTTATCTGCAATATTTAAATACTTTGGGGTATTTATTTGCTCGGTTTTGAATTAAAGGTCACTTAAGTGTAAGGTTGGTGAAACTATAGGGCATTTAAGTGCAATTTATAGCTGATTTGCAATCATCAACATGGAGAATAATTTGATTGCATCATCAGTAGAAATTTGAGCATTAGGCTGGAAAATCCATCTATGATGCCTAAAAATCCGTTTACAATGGCCATCCCAGATGACTATCCTCCTAGGATGGTCCATCTAGAATGTTTCCGTCTAGAATGTAGCATTCTAGACGGAACTGTTGTCTCGGATGCACACGCATATACTTGATGGAGAAGCATCCAAGATGGAATTTCTGATTATGATGTAATAATATTTGAAAAAAATTATTGCAGAAATTAGCACTACCCTATTTTTGTTTCACCTTTATAGCATATATATATAAACGTCTCATCCCAACACAATATCACAAATCCATTTAATTCTGCATACAAAATATATATTGTGCATTTACAAAATATTTTTCACATCAACAATCATGCAAATACTCACTTACAAAAGCATATCTCCATTTAATCAAAAAATATAACCAATGATTTCCATTAGAAGACTGACATTAATTTTTCCATATCAACAATGCAGACAATCAGTTTTAAAATAATAAAGTCTACTGACGGAGAAACTATTGCGGTGAGGTTTGAGCTCGTTTAATTTGTAAACTAAGCGTATGCATGAAATTAAATCTCTTCTCTAGAGGTATATGTAGGAGTTACCATGCATCTTGATATTCAAGAAACGATCAGGAAGTAATCACACCGTGATGGCAAAAACCTCCCACGAATCACTCTGTGACTAATTCTGAAAATATATAATTGATGGTGTCATGCTGAAATAACAAGAGATGCATATGGCTTTAATCTTGTAAATCTAGACAAGGAGATTTACTCCGATTTGAAGTTCATGTTTGCAAAGCAGGCTACTCAGTGCTTTTATGTCAAAGATCCTAGACAGCCGAAGGTTTGGGTCGCATTGTATAAGGAGCCGAGAACTCTTGTTGAACTTTCTCTCGATGAAAACATAGAGGGTTCTGATGATCCAAATGAGACTGAAGGAGAAGTTTTTCCTAATTACTCATACCCGCAAAATGTCCATCTTAATATGTATACTCCGCAAAATCGGCTTGATATTCGTAATGTAGGAGATTGAATGTCGAAATATTAGTACTTTTAAAATTTAAAGTATTAACTTTGTCGTTTTAATATATATTTTTTATTTTGTCAATGCAATTTTCAACATTCACTTATTTTGCTTCAATAAATTGAATAATCATTTAAGATGCAGATGAGCCGAAGGATAAAGCGCATAGGGGAAGTTTCCCACAATCAAGCAAATTCATCATCAGGTATAAATATTAATTTGTTCAAATAAATTATGTTTGTGATATAAATATGCATATTTCGCATTTATAATTATATTTTTTACGTGTAGGAATGTCCTCACGACCTTATAGTAGTCCATTATCTCTACATGGATCCTCACCCGTTGAAGGTATTAATTTATTTAATATCATTAAGTTAATTGAGAAACTTATTTACCTATATTATTTTTATTACTTTCGTAGATATTGCGGGGACAGATACACATGCATCTCCTATGAGTCCACCTATGAGTCAACGTCATCATCGGGATTCATCGCCTGGTCTAGGTATTAATTTTAATGTCCATGGATATTTTATGTTCCTATAAATATTTATTTCACATTTTATATTGCAGACAATCATCATGATGGATCCAGTGATGACGAGATCCAACACGAGTCTTTTGCGAGATCTTCTCAGTCGGAAGTTGAATGTCTCCGTCCATGGACTGAAGCAGTAAATTCCATCCCCTTACCAGAAAAGGCTATCACATTGCAAAAGAAATGCGATAGGAACTATAAAAAAAGGAGAGAAGACATTAAAAACAAGGATAGTATAATAAAGCAGAGACTAGAAAAGGCGATGTCAGATAAGTTGAGGGAAATGGGTAAGAATATCATGTAAAATATTGATCAATCTTCGTTATTTAATTATTGAAGTTTTTAAAAAAATATCTCTCTGTCTTTGTAGGGAACAAGGACTACGAGAAGGCCGGTAGACACGGTAGTGATCTGTTTACGAAGGTACCTCCTAAAGGTTATCGAGCCATTTTGGGGTGGATGGGCAACATTCCAGTTGGAGATTACGCGGTCAGATTTAATAATTTGATCGGTTGTTTAATCAGAGACCCACACCACATTAACATCGCTCATAACTTTGATGAACAACAATGGAATGGAATAAAGAAGATATGGGAGAGGCTCATGGTAATTATTCATTATATTGTTTTTTCAATAAATATTTATTTAATTTTTTAATATTGCATGTTTTTGTAACACCTAATTTGTAGAATCACTATTGCCTTGAGGACAACCCGGACTCTTGGGATTACGTAATGAGTAGAGCGAGCAAGATGCTTCGGGGGTGGAGGAGTAGACTTAAGAGTCAATACTTTACAGATATAACCATTGATTGGAAGCGGATTCATCAGCTTGATAAGAGGGTTCCTCCTTATAATTGGATGACTCTCATTATCGAGTGGGAGGGCGAGAAGAAGGTGAGTTATTTTTTAATTAATTATATTACCACCACATATACTGAAAAATTACTTTATTTTGAAGGATAAATGTTCGATAGCATCGGCTAATCGCGGTGCAAAGCTATATGATCACTTTCTAGGAGCTACTCCCTACGCTCGGATCGAGCATAAATATTTGCGTGAAAATCCGGTTAGATCAAAATATTAAAACTCAACTCATGTTACTATTTTCATACGTTATTAGAAATAACTTGAAATTTGATTAATCATAGGACGCCTTGACTATGCCGCCAACTCTTCTTGCTAGAAGTGCATATACACCACCCGAGGGCTATGATAAGGAGGGAAAGATGACGAAAATTAAGGATATGCATGTAAGTATAAGCTTAATTTCATATTGGCACACATGTATTTCTAATTAGAATTCATCAATGTTCGAATACCATTTATTTATGTGTGTGGAGATTCGAATATTTGTGGACCTTTTATTGACCAAAAATAGTGGTATTAATAATCAAGTTATCCAACCTTCTTATATGTTATGACTAGTAGATGACAAGAGCGAACCAGAGTGGGCCCACGATAATCACTCTTCTCCTCGTTTGGCAAATATGCATGATTACATACCACATCTTATAATTATCAAAATTAATTAACTTGAGAAGACAATTATCAGTAATTAGTGAGTAATTTTTTAGTTTTTTAACTTTTAGGGTTTTTTCTGGGGTTTCACAAACATCAACGACGGCTTGTAAGACCAAATAGCTGTAATTTAATTTCACTTAAAAAATGAATGCATAATAATGTGTTGTTACCTTCAAATTTGAAAATCCATCTTCTCTTTTATTCTGAAAATCAATTTCTAGACAAGTATATGCTTTAGCTAGCTTGTCCAATTACGAGGCTTCTTTTTTGAACGGAAACAGGCGGCCGGGTGAATAGTTTTTACGGTCAAAGGCTTCATGAACTGTACGCACTTGAGTTAGTTTTCAGAGCTTTTGACTGAACGGATGGAGATTGGATTGATATATGCAAATATGTAAACAGGGAGGGCCTTATCTGCAATTTGCTCCCGTACTTCAAGCCTAGCTGTTATCTTCCGGGTATTTGTAACAGAGTCATGAACTTCAAGCCTAGCTGTGATGTATTTGTAACAGTCATGAACTTAAAGCCTAGGCTGCACGACTCATATTATACCAGTATGTTTGACGAAGAAGGTAAAAAATGCATGTCCAGTGACATATCTTTTTCTTTCAGAATCATAGCTGAAAAATGTCGACTATAAATGAAATAAGAAAGTGATCATATATCTTTGCACTTAATTCATAACATTGTCTTAATTTATTTATTTCTATTGGTTGAGTTCCATTGCTTAAGACTGCCCTAATTTATTTATTTCTATTGCTATATGTTATTTAGGAGGCGCTTGAAGCTTCACAAGACTTTGTCTTGTCCCAGTCTCAGAGCATAGAGAACACTCCTACCGATCCTAATCGCATGACTAGAGAGCAATGGAGGGAAATTGTTGATGGAGTTTATGGCTCTAAACCAATCAAGAAAGGGAGGGGGCCTTTATCAAGTGCAAAAGTTAGGATAGTCTCCACTAGCAGGAATATACAAAATGACTCGTCCGCGACCTCAAATCGACCAAGTGTGACATCGTACGTCGTGGCTAAAATTGGACAGTATTTAATGGACAATGTTCAACCCTCGATGTTTTTTCAATTTATTCCCATTATTACGCGCGAGCTAGGGGGTGCACAATCGACTTGGGATGTTGTGCAGCGCCTCAGTGATTGTCCATCGTTGAAGGAGATTCTTCCTGAGTCGATATACTTAGAGATCTTTAAGTTGGCGTTTGCCGAGCATGAAGCTCATGGTGGTGGAGAGGTATATATGACGCGACATATATGTATTTATTATTATATTTTTGGTATATATATATCTTATGTGGAGTGATATTCTTTTCAGACTGGAGGAGGTATTGTAGGGAGCAGCAGTACGATACGACGTTCTAATGCAGACGATGCTGATAACAGGGATGCCGACGATGACGAGGAGTGAGTGAGACTTGTGTTAAGACATATCATGACTTTTGAATTTTACATATATAAAATATATATGTGATTTTATTGCGTAGTGAATGAATATTATTTGAGCATGCGAGATGTATTGTGATTGTGATTATATGACGAGTATTATTCGATATTGTGGATTGACGGATGAAATTGAATGAGTGTGGAATGTGAATGTATATCATGGTTGGTTTTATGATATATTGTTAAATATTGTCATTGGACGATACAGGTTATATGTGTATTCTCTCGTATGGGAGGCTACCGAAAAATAAAAAATTTTTTTGCGTAAATATATACATTGGCGACGGGAAAATCCGTCGGCAATAAACATTGGCCACGGGGTAATCCGTCGTCAATGTTAAAACATTAGCGACGGACTACCCGTCACCAATAAACATTGGCGACGGGGTGATCCGTCGCCAATGTTCAAACATTGGCGACGAGCTACCCCGTCGCCAATGTTTATTAGCGACGGGGTGATCCGTCGCCAATGTTTAAACATTGGCGACGGATTTCCCTGTCGCCAATAAACATTAGTGACGGGGTGATCCGTCGCCAATGTTCAAACATTGGCGACGAGCTACCCCGTCGCCAATGTTTATTGGCGACGGGGTAGTCCGTCGCCAATGTTTAAACATTGGCGACGAATTTCCCTGTCGCCAATAAACATTAGTGACGGGGTGATCCGTCGTCAATGTTAAAACATTGACGACGGACTACCCAGTCGCCAATAAACATTGGCGACGGGGTAGCCCGTCGCTAATGTTTGAACATTGGCGACGGATCACCCCGTCGCCAATGTTTATTGGCGACGGAAGTAACCCGTCGCCAAAGAAATCCGTCGCCAATAGTCGTGCGTCGCCAATAAGTATTGGCGACGGGGTAACCCGTCGCCAATACTTATTGGCGACGGATTTATTGGCGACGGAAATGGGCCCGTCGCTAATATGTATTGGTGACGGATTTTGGGGCATTGGTGACGGATTTCCCCGTCGCCAATGCCCTGTTTTCTACTAGTGAGGGAAGGAAGAGACAATATTTACTTTTTTCTATATCTTTTCTCTTCACAGTATGTTCTTATTTAAAGGGAGAATAGGATTTAATTCTAATCCAATTAGAATTAGTAAAATATCTTATCTCTAAGATAAGATAAGTCCCATTTATTTGGGTGTATCCTTATACATCAATGACTAATATACTCTCACTCACACAAATGCCCACAAATGAGTGGGTGTCATACGTATCTCCTTGAGCCATTGATTCCCTGAGTCAAAATCTCCTCGAGATTCTTCTTCTTTTTCAATACGGCATCCATACATTGCTAGTGCAGCATGGACCATTGAGAACCTATAAATGGGTAAGCTTGCAGCGAGATTTGTTAGGATTGACACAAGGATCTCCCGAAAGTAAAAAATATATGGTAAAATGTAAGTATGCAGTATCTCATACCCTAGATCCTTCAAAGAAGCATACATGAACACCGCAGTCTACCCTAAATTCACACTCTTAAATCCTGCTCTCGGCATAAATAAGAGTTGCGCAATGCGAGGTAATTAGGAGACATGTCAATCAATCTTCCTCTGACCCTGAATAGTTGAGCAAGTTAATTACACGTTTTCCTGACACTACATCATATGTGCGGTATTATCTCATAACAGCCTTCCTAGACAGCTCGGTGTCTCTAAGGGTATAGTGACTGCCCTCTTTTATTGGTGGTCATCTATAAGATCTCACACGGCGAGGCACCAGGGATCCATCCCTCGATCTCCTTATTTTTGGTCCTAACACACGTCGTATGGCGACGTGCTATGATATTACTTCTCTCCCTGAGTGAATATATCATCAAATGAATACCGTATAGATCCAAGTCTCATTACATCATAATGAACTTGTCTGGCCATATTGCCCTATGATATGCTTGGGATCTCTCGACAAGTTCGCACTCCGTGCGCCAAGCCTAACCCCTAATATGACTGATAGTAAATAAGTAAAGTAGATATGAGGTTTCCACTTCGGTCACTTCAACATATAAGTATACATTAACCTCATCTTGACTCAGTCAGGGCAACCAATAGAGCGCTTCCACTATCACCATACCTAGTAATGCAATCATGGTCTCATTACTCCAACCTAAATGACATCCGGCACTCGGTCTCAGCTACGACAACTTCCACGACTTTGAAGGAGATCTCTTGTGTGATAAGAGCTCCTACTTGCTAATATAACTTTTTTTAATATGCATCTAGTGCCCTTTGTATATCCTATACACATTACATACAAATATACTCCATGCCAAAAAAAACCAAACAATAATAAGAGATAAGCAAATCCTAAATATGCATAAATATAGATGAGAAAATATCTATCAAAAACAAAATAATGTCTCATAAAGCTGCCATCCATAGTATGGTGTATCAGGTCCTAACTAGTACAAAATGTCACCACAGACATAGCACTAAGGCTCTACTATGCTGAATGAACCGCTTCTCGGCTATTCCCATCATCAATGGATCCACAATCATCTAACTTTTAGGGATGTACTTTAGCACGACCTCTTCCTTCTTTTGCTTCTTGATAAAATGGTACTAAATCTAGATTGTAAAACCCCAGAAATTTTGAGTTAATGATTAATAAATTGAAATAGTATGTGATTAATTATAATAAGTGAATATTTATTGAGATAAATATCATTAAATAGTGTATGAGTACACTAACAATTATTTTGAGTATAAGCAAGTCAGTGAATGAGAAAGAAGCGAGTCAAAACATGCACAATGGCTAAAAGAATAAAAATCTGAGAAAACTGGGAAGTTCCAGCCCCGTCGACCGCCACAGTCAACGGTCGTCCGGTCGACCGTCACGTTCGACCGCGAAACCTGAACATTGTTTATCCTGTTTTGACTTGGTTTGGGTATTTACGGTCCATATTTATTTTCTTGGCTATATATATATCATATATTCATGAGTTTTTAGTATTCTAAAAACCCTAGTAGCCACCAAACTCCACTACAAACCCTATTTTGATTTTTGAGAAACATTAAAGGCTTTTGGAGCGGAATTTTAGGTTGTTTTGAGTTTGTGATTTGGAGATCTACTTTGGACCCTCATCTTCCACATTTTAAATTAAGTCTCATGCGAGTTTTATCTCTGCTAATCCCTTTCTCCTATTTTAAAGAATTTTAAATGAGTTTCCAATGATTTTTATAGAGCCAAATTGACTAATTTATGTATAAAAATCAAATCTTTTGTATTATATGTATAAAGACTAGGTCTTTTAATGATTAAAAGATTAAGAACGAAATTATAGAAGTGTTTGAAGATCTGAAAGTAATTAATAACATTTTTTAATTGAGTTTTGATGATTTGTTCTTCGTTTTGATATCTCGTGCAAGTTTAAGAGTTTAATTATGATTTATTATGCAAATAATTATGTTTTACATGTTTGATATTTCTCAGAGATATAAATCAACTGTTTACAATGTTCTACACAAGTTCTAGGACAAATAAAATCAGTTTGAGTCACGAAAATACGCACGAACACAACATAGTCACAAAAACCTGAACAGAACAGAACAGGCTTCTGTTCGTGTGTCAGTCGACCGCGCATAAGCGGCAATCCATCGCGTGCTAGGCAGAGGCCTGGGCAGCCTTTGAAACACGATGTGGTTGATCACGTGCCAAGCAGAGGCTTGGGCAGCCGTCGACCATCGTTATATTGCGGTCGACCGCCAGTATGATAATTAGCCATTGTATGCTTTCTTCCCTAATTTTTGATTTTGGGGAAATTTTCTCTATTTTGTTATGTTGCATAATGATTCTTATGAGTTGTTAAACACCTGAGGTGTTGGTGAACACCAGCTATTAACACGCACACCGAGATATGTGTACGTACACTTAGTTTATGCTATATTAATATGCATTATCGAGATACTTAACACGTGTTGAGTTGATGAAAGTGAATTAACGTATGATAAAGTATTGCTCATCAGTTATGGATGCTCAGTGTGGTTGTTTATCCCGTAATGAGATCTCAATTGTACCACACTAGGAGTATTTAGTCGTTTTTCCCATAATGAGACCTCAGCGGTACCAAATACTCGACGGTGATCGATGTATTTTTTGGGTTGGGCTGATATGCCTTTTCACCGTTATACGATCATCTGGAAGCATATCCGAAATAGGGAGATAAAACCTATTGTCGTTGAATGATTGAGTAAGGGTGTTGAACCCACATGTTATTGTGGGAACCTTACAAGAGTATCGTTATTTCATATAGCCGGAATAGGGAGATAAAACCTATTGCCGTAGAACGATTGAGTAAGGAAGTTGAACCCACTTGTTATTGTCTAAACCTTATAAGAGTATCATTATTTTATGTAGCCAGAATAGGCAGATAAAACATATTGCCACAGAGCGATTGAATAAGAACCTTACAAGAGTATCGCTATTGCAAAATGAGATGCATACATATATATAGTTGTAGTATGATTCCATGTAGTTTACCCATGAGTAGGGTATACATTGGATACATGACATGGTATTTTGTAATATATGAGCTGGATAATATCTCCTTATGATGATGCCCGCTACCTGAGGGTAGTTTGAGATTATGATAAATTGTGCCATTATGATTGAGGGTAGAAGCTATAATATTTCTATTTATGATGATTGTTCATATATAGGTTTGAAGTTAGTAGTTAGTGATTTATAGCTAGAAATATATGGTATATACATGAGGGTTTTCTTATTTGGATTATTTCGCTTGACGTACCCATCTCGAGTTGTGGATTTCTAGTTACTAATTTTACTTGTATTTTTATTCTTAGTTGAGATTGATATTTAGCAATTCATAATTTGGGATACGAGGTATATACATGAGGGTTTCCTTTTTAGATTATTTCGTTCGGCGTACCCATTCTCGTATTATGAATCTCTGAATACCAATTTCCATTTAGCGTAATATTGATGATTTTATAATTATATGTACTAACTAGTATTTTCTCATTTACTACTACCCCTTCCCCTTAGGATGGTAGAGTTGATCTCGCTAGCGCTTGATGCTCGTTGTTTCCCCTCTTTTT